CATGGATAGGATGGACAATACTATTCTAAGCTGTTCTGTCACTATGTCTTGTATGTTCGCCCTTCTGTGGTACAGTAGTATGGTCAGTGGTGGGTAGATGGTCTAGTTTCATGGTCCTTTCTACATAGGTCTACATGTCACATGCCAAAAAAGATGAGGATTTGTGAGCAGCCTGAGACCTCACCTCTCCAAGCAGAGTGTGCGTATCACTGATGCATACTGATGATCAGAGATGAGCTACAGAGGGTGAGTAAGCTTTAAGAACAGGTCATACCAGGGATCTAAACCCAGCTTCAGCTGCATATAATGCAGATTGCTTCATACATTGCTCAGTGCAGTGATTCTTCACTGAATATTATTGAAGCCTTACTGTCAAAATAGCTGTTCAGCCATTGAAAGAAAGAATTTGTAGTCAGTTTGTATCGGCTGAGGTAGTCAAAGCAGGGAGCAATCCCGAGTGCAGTGTTAAGCCAGCTGTTTAATAATAAGGCTTTAAGACTGAAATTCACCTCTGTTAACTGGAGTTAACCTAAAGCGCTGCACAGAATTTCAAACATGCCAGAGTTTGGTATTATCACATCTCCATGATGAACTTGAAGAGTTGCTTTGGTTTATGTGTAGCAGAGAGCAATGTATATAAACAGTTTTCACAAGCAGGGTGGAAGCAACAGGAACTTATTGATGTAGCAGTCGTCACCACCCATACCTTGGAGAACTGCAAGGATCTTTCAGATGATGACTGTGTAATTTCTTCCACACACCCCAGAGGGAAGTTTCTTTCTGCGGTCCTATGTACTATAAGCTTTCCCACCCTTTCCCTCAGGTGCATGAGCTCATATTTCTTGCAAACAAGACGAAGAGGGAGATGTCCCCATAATCTAAAGCTGAGGAGTCACTAATTGGAAAAAATCAGTTCCCGCTCTACTGTCTGTATGAAGAACTTGATGTTTGTTGGGCAGGTACTTCAACCTCACTCTCTCACCTTCCCAAAGTGGTGTTACATTGGCTCCCCGAGATAGAGGAAGGGAACTGAGCAGGCAACCTACTCTCAGCTGCACTTTCTTCTGTCCTCTGAGGGCCCTGCTCCCCTTCCCATGTTTTCCACCTTTCTGACCTGGCCTTTGTGAGTTTGCCGGACATATTTCCTGCAGACCAGGGATGGTTTCTCTGGCTTTCTAAAAATGTTCTGTTCTTTGTGCTGGTGAATAAACAGAAGAACAGAGCTTATCTCATGATGGGGTGGGATTTTTTTTTCTATGTGTGTTACAAGGGAAACAAAGGGAGGAAATACTAAATTTGAGTTGCAAGCTTATATAAATTATGTTTCAGAAAGTACACCGGATACAAGTTAATGCATTAAAGAAAACAGCGGTTGTAAGGGAAATGTCAATTACTAGGCAGGTGATTCTGCTAAGGTTGTCTGTTCTTTCTCACTGGAAGGCGTGTTTTCCATCATTTAAAATTCTGCCAAATTCTCTTTCCATTCGTGAGGTCTCACCTGTGTTTAAAGTTCATCCGAAGTACCTGAGCTATTTCCAAGAAACCAAGGAAAAAATCCACTGTGCTTTTCAAAAACTGAAACAGCCTTTTGTCTGAGAAGTTCAAGTGTCTTCATCCATCAGTCAAAGACTCGAACTTGACACTTGGAAGAAAAACAGCCTTTGAGTTAAGGAAATACTTGGAGAAAAAATCTGCCAAAATCCCAGGTCACAGATGCTCGGTAGCTACTCAGGTCTATGGTAAAAAATGTCCTCCTTCATCCTGGGTCTGTGGTTACAGAGCCAGGTCTGCTGCCAGGGCTGAGAGCAGGAAGACTGTTTCATGGAATGAGAGTGCCACCGGCTGACAGACGGGCAGTGCAGGCAAGCTGCCTGACTCCACAGGCAGGACCACAGCTAGGCGAAGTGTCTACCCAAGGGAAGATACTGGAAGATTGAGCGAGATGTAGTGTAAGGGAGACTCGGGTTGGAGGATGAAGGGACCGCAGTAGTCAGGAAGGGGTGGGTGGGAACTGGTTTGATCATTTGACCCGACAGCCTAAGAAAAATAAAAGAGCTCCAAGACTTTTTGAGCTGTTCTTGGGACAAAGTAGATGGGAACGGGAGTGGCTGAAGGGACAAATGGGAGAGACAAATGCAGGTGGCTGGTGACAAGTTTATTGGAGAAGGATACAGAAGCATGAGAAGATGTGGGCTAAGCTGATGAGTATAATGCAACTGGAGCAAGGAGAGTGTAAAGCCTGATGAGCAGGATGGGCCGTGTCCATCAGAGCGTGCTTCTGCTGAGACACAGAGCAGAAGCCAGAATGCTTTATTGTCAAGCAAATGGCGGGGATGGGGGAGAGAGGAAATCAGTATTTGGATAGAAGGCAGTAAATATGGCTGAGGGAAGGAGGGATAGCTGGCTCTCACAGATGAATCAGGAGCCAAAGGAAAATTGAATATCTGCTTGTTACCAAAGCACCATTCATCCTGTGCCCTAAAAGAGCAGGAGGTCTTGCAAACTGTCTTGTAACTACATACATTGGTGTGTGTGGAAGCAAAGAGAGGTCAGTAGAGGAAGGGTGCCCTGGCAAACGGACCTGTTTCCAATGTTTACTTTTTTTGAATACGTGACTTTGTAGTCTTCATAATGTTCTCGGCTTTGTTGTACACAATGTCTTAGTTTGGTTTGTTGCTTCCTGCCTGTGATTTGCTGGAGCTGGAACTCAGATTCCGTAGGGAGCCCTTTGCAACAAGACACTGTTGTCAAGATGACAAATATTTTTACTCATTGTGATCAGTTCAGAACAGAAGTTTTTTTAAAAGTGATCTGCATTAATGGAAAGTTATTGGTTTGCGGTCAGGTGCTCAAGATTTTGCTGCTGGGTCTCTTCTAGCCAGCAGTGTGGAACCCTGGATTTTATGTCTGCCCTCGGAAGGGGGCCGCATTCCGAGTCGTGCAACTGCCTGACATATTTGATCCAGTGGAAAAAGAAGGCTGGCTAAAGATGTCTTGGGGGCTATCTTAGAGATGTGCTTCTGGAGAGAAATCTGACTGATGCTCTGTCAGAGGCTTTAATTTTATTCCTCTTAGGCAGAAATGTCAGTAGTTTCTTCAAATATGATACAGGTGTTGCATTTAGGTACTCTGTGAGATGTGAGATAACACTTCCGCTGAAGAAGTATGCAGAAGTTTCAGGACTCCAAGGGACTTTGACTGAGAGGTGAAATAGCTCTGTAAGAGTCTTCAAAATCTGCATGAACTGCTGTGGGAATAGCTGTAGCATCTTTTTGACTCCATTTGTCTGCATTTAGGCTGTGTGACCCAAGGAGCTTGTTTTGCTACTTGATTTTTGTGGAACATGGTTGCTATTAGCATTTTATTTTGCTCAGTCACTAAAGGTTAACATGGTGGGAACTTTAAATAGGGAACAGAAAGATGCTAAAATCAATCCAGATATCTCTTCTCCTCTTACACTTCAAATAAAGAAAGAGAAGGAAGAGGGGAAGCTTTACAAAATCATGGAAATATACTGTACTGGGAAGCATATTGACAACATAAAGCCCTGATTGTTTGCCAGGGCTGTTCAGGCTTAGAAGGCAAGTACTCAGATGTTGTTTATCTGTGTTTTCCTAACCCAGAGGCAAGAGTTAAGTAATGTGCACTCAGTGTGGGCAGTGAGGGGTTGTTCTTGATATTCTCCTATTTAAAAATGACTGCTTCACTTCTTTTGAAAGTAAGCAAGGGTTAATTTGCATTTTTATGATTATTCATGTTGCTCCCTAAATATTTATTCTGTAAATTTGAGAGATGTTGCAGTTTGTGAAAGAGAGGGGATATGTTTAAATTTGTAATTTTTAAGAGTAGCTTAAGATGACACATCTGGGTACCTCCATTCTTCATCCACCTCAACATTAGCTCCTTATTATGCTACCAACATAATCTTATAAAGCAAAGCTGGTATTTCCATGATTCAGCAATCTTCAGTAACGAATCCTGACATTGTGTTATGCTTATTTTTATATTGTCTCCTAAGGTATGATGATAACAAATCAATGCACAGTATTTCTAAATGTACAGCACAGGCAGTAAGCCTTGCAGTAAATTATTATCCACACTGAAAATACAGCACATACATTAAAAATGACCATATAGATGAGGAAAAAACCCCAACAAATCCGAGCTCGTCTGCCTTGTATTTGCCTGTCATTTCCATTTTGATTGCGATTGGCTGGAACGGGCGGCTGCTGGCATTGCACAATTGGCTTAGATGGGAAATTACAAAACAGGAGCAGATCCCTTGATTGGGACTCGGTAGCACATGCAGCTGAGCGCAGGGGAAAAAGAAAGGTCACCCGTACACAAGGCTTTGAGCAAAATCTCTCTCGCAGATGTTTCCATTCCGGAGAAGCGCATCTGATCTCATTTTTCTTGTCCGTGACTTGGAGCATTTAACTGCCACGGGGTTGGGTTTTTTTTGTCTCGGTGAATGCGAAAAATGCACCTGGGAACAAGTTTGCAACCTGGAGGCATGTGAGAATCAATATCACGGAATGATCAGAAGGATCTGTGTTTTTAAGGAGTTTTAAATATCGATGAGGAGGAAGACAACTCAAACAGAAGGTTAAAAGCAGATGCAAAAGGAAAACAATCTTATTTTGATCCTGGAATTATACTGAATACAGCATGAAGGAGGGATTATATCAGTACCAAAGCAATGGACAATCAAAGTGTTTTACTTTTCTCTGAAATAATCACTGTACAAGAAATGTAAAAACTGTGTTTCGTGAGAAAGAATCCATAATTTGAATATGATTTGAAGCTTTGTGGAACGTATTTGAAACTGCTGCATCTTTCCAATGGTGTATATTATAGTACATTTTTACTTAGGGTGTTTAGTGAAGAAGATTCTGCACAAAAAAAGTCAAGCTACTTTTTTTTCTCTAAACTAGTTTTTAATTGCTTTTTTGAATGAGAGAACCAGAGGAGTTTCATTTACATTTTTAACTGAACTTTCTCTATTTTTTTTTCTTTCGTCCACCAAACTTAGTTTGCGAGATGCTGGGATTGGATTTATTCTTGTCATAGACCGCAGACAGGACAAATGGAACTCCGTGAAAGCTTCCGTACTGCGGATAGCAGTGAGTACTGTTTTAAATTAACTCCTTAAAAAGATTTTCTGTGTTGAACCATCTTATTAGCAGAAAACTAGCAAATATCCCTGGCGGCAGGGAGGCTGGATTAAAATGATCTCTAAGGTCCCTTCCAGCTTAGGCCATTCTATGATTCTATTATATTGTATTTCTTCAACAAGATGTTAGCTGATCAGTGACAGAAAAAGTATCCAGTAGTTCTTCTGTATCCCAGCTGACCAGGATGTCTGTGGTGTGCTTTTAATGCAATTGGCAGCTCAGGACATCTTTCTGAGAAGGCACTGGTGGAACATGTGTGTGTTTGTCTGTGTGTGTGAATGTGTACGGTGTGCAGCTCTCCCAAGTGAGAACCGATACTTGCATGGATAGCCTACACATTCACCAGAGCTTTGGGTCCACCTTTCGCTGTTCAAGTGACCTTTCCTTTTAGGAGGAGATTAGGACAAGGATCCTGATATAATTTACCACTTATGAAAGGAATTCAGGTATAAAAGCTGATGTTGTGATGTTCAAATTAAAACAATGGTTGCTCGTAAGCAAGAAAATCTTACGTACCTACTATGGTGAGTCAAGAGCACACACTGGTACTTTCAGTCTCTTTTTTAATTAATTTTTTTATAAACATGAAAACTAGGCTTATTAGAGGCTTATTTTTTTTTACACAAGTAGGAAAAGACAGATTCATGTTTCTCAAATGCTTATGCTATTGTTGGTTTACTCGTCTTGTTTTTATCTCGTTAGCCTTGCTTGAATTGTTAAGGTTGATAATCTTTTCTCTCAGTGCTGAAAAATAGAGCTGTGAGCATGAGCATTTTTTCGTTAATTTTTAATGGCTGAAAATTTTTGACTCCAAGATAAAAATCAAATCAAAACTGTAAATGTGTAGCCCCATTCTGACCAAAGAACTGCTTGACTTTTCGGTGAATGAATGTATAGTGGTATAATATTGTTACAATACAACTTTTTCCACAGTAACTATATTAGGAATGTCATATATTGAAGATATACTGAAATATTAGCAAAATTTGCTTTCACGACTCACTTTGAAATTTTGAGCTGGAGCATTGAGTAGGTTCCAGTAGTGAAAATCAAGAGTAACATAATTTGGGGTGATTAAAGAAGGACTTTATCTCTGGAGCTTTTGAATCTCCTTCAGAACTGAATGCTATAGTTCCTGTTCAAGGGCAGATAAGTATTCCACAGATGACAGTCCTTTAACTGAAGTGATAAGGGGTGGGGGGCAACTATGGGCATGTTACTTATAGCCATAATATTAACATTTATGGTAACATTTGTCCAGGCGTGTGTTGTTTTGCCTAGAGGCACAATATACAGACCCCCATGATACAGGATCCATCACCATAGTGCAGGGAGCACTGCAGGTTGCAGTACTGTTGATGATGGGTCATTTTGCTTTTTTCTTCTTTTTTCATTCTTCTGTGAGCTTTATTTGGGAGAGGAAGCATGCTTCATAGCTGAAATCTAATCTGTTCAAGGCATGATTTTCTTTATATTTCTTTCATTGAACTGGCTTAGCTTTGGCTTTGTTTTGTGTTCGTGAATGTATGTGGCGGTCATCCTCTTGGGATTCAGCAACAGTCCCGTCATCCCTGAACACTTGAAAATTTACCATCCTATTAAAAAAAATAAAGTGAAAAATCAGTATTTGTTGTTGTTCACCATGTGTTTGCTATAGTATTTGCCATAAATTAATTTTAAATACATTTCTGCTCCCTGTTCCTTAAAAAAACAAAGCCAAACATTCATGATACGTATCTTGCGCCAAAGTCATGAGGGTTTCTCTGAGTCCTGTTGATGGAGAAAGGTATTAGTTATCTCTCTATCTATTTATTTATTTAAATGGCTCAAGGGTAACTGGAGGCTTGATTTGCCCTTGTTGGGTTTTCCTAACAGTGAGAGCTGCCTTTTGATGGTGATGAAGCATCTGAGTGTCATTTGGGCTGTCCATATTGAACCTGATGTCTGAAAGCCCAGTATCTCTAGCAGTTTTGATTGCTAAAGCTTATTGCTGTGTGTGAGGGTGTGAGTCTCATGCTATTTGAGAAGAGAGTTTTGGCTGTTGGTACATTTGTTTTAGTTCCTGCAGCATCCTCCCTACTGTCTTTCCCAATTTTTCTCTAATTGTCCTGAGGGGGTTGACACTTTTGATTTGTGAAATCAGAGATGCCAGCGCAGGGTTCTGTGGCTGGAGCATCTGCTCATCACTAATATCCCAACAACTGTAAGAAATATATTGGTAAGCAGTGAGTACCTGCTAACCAGAAATTCATACTAGCATGTACATCTTTCTCCTTATTTTATGTTATTTTTAAGACTCTTCATGCACAAGCGTGTGGTTTGTACTAATGGATGTTGGAATATGTTTTGAAGCAAAACTAAAAAAGAAAGAATTTTGGTTTAGGCTGAAATTATTGTGGAAAACCTGTCTATCTTATGAAAAAATCTCCTGTTCAAGGACAGATAAGTATTTCACAGATGACAGTCCTTTAACTAAAAAAAAAATTTCTAGGCTTCTTTTTTTTCTTAATTCCTGTTTAGGGATCGTTTTCTCTGGGACAGAAAATCAGCAATGACAAGCTGAATCTGTATTTCGTGCTAATACTTTAAGGTTGCCATGGAGAGTCAAGGTTGTGAAGATGAAGTAAACCTATTTTTTCAGGCATAGTGGAAGGGCAGTGGCTCCACCATTCACCCAGGATGACTGCTGCTGAAGCACCTGCAGTGACAGCAGAACTGAAACCAAAGCCAAAGGCTCTGGGCTGAGAGATGACCACTCTTTTCCTGGGATGTGACAGAGATCGGGGCAAGTACATGCCCAAGCATGCAGGCTTTGCTGCTGTTATACTCTACGTGACAAAGCTGCAATGGGCAGGTGGGCCAGGAGGTTGTCCTTAACCATTGCAAGACTGCAGACTCTGGCTTAAGAGACACTGCAAACAAGATTATTTATTTTCCCCCGATTTAGCTGAAGTGGAGTTACTAGCCTAGTGCAGTCAAGAATGGCACATGTTTGGAGGGTGACTCATTCTGTCTAAGTGGAGTGGATAGCCTAGAGATACTGTTGACTATATAGAAAGCCTAGCTTTTAGACAGCTGTAAATTGGACAGAATTCATCCCTCATGTTGCTCTAGGAAGAGCCTGGTCTACTGGGATAGCCAGGCCAAAAGTTGGAGTTCTGATAGAGACACCAAAAGCCAAGCTTTACGTTTTTAAGTGTGAACTCTTGGCAGTAAATTGTCATGTTACTGAAATGGCCATAGAAAACTGAAAGGTATTACAATAAAAATATTCACGTTAGCCGTTGCAAGTGGTTCAGTCTCATTACATTGCTGGTTGAAGATACGAAAATTCTCAAGTTTTTTGCCCTGTCAGCTCCTGAAATTCTTGTATGTTTGCATTGTAATGTCCCGTTTTCAGTTAAACGTGGTATACAGGCATACACAAAACCTTGCTGAACTTTTCAGCTCCTGTGGCTGAGCAAGTGGATAGGCTCATGGGAGTAAGACATGGTCCCTGAGTGAGGATGCAAGGAGCAGCGGTCACATAGCTCGATAAAATGCCTCTATATCGTCCCAGCTGGAAACACTGGCCAATTTGTCATCTTTTCCTTTCCATGCAGTAAAAATTACACTTTTCCCCCACCTCTTTTTTCCCCCCCTCTTTCTATTTTTTCCTTTATTTTTGCTTCCTCACCTACTGTTGCCATATCCAAATAAGCAATATTCAATCCACAGTTGTAGGAGCAAGGCACATTACTAATCAATGTGTTCTGGGCCTTCACCCTGCTCTGTTCATAGTTCCAGTGTGTTTTCTTAAAAAAAAAAAAGTCTGTGCCATTACATTGTCTTTGTCTCTGCTGTCCTGTCATCATTCTCTTCTCCATCTTGAGGGAAAATTTAAAGTGTGAACTCACTGCACTGAACATCATTTGAAAGTTCCACCATAACCTTCCATCAGCCCAATATTGAAAGTCCAAAGAAAATAAGCTTCCTTAAACTTTGTGCTTAGGGAGTAACATACTTGTGGGCAACTCTTCTTGAGGTAGCAGTTGGTATGGAGGTCACTCAGGTGGTAGTGAGGAAATTTTATCCAGTTATGAAACTTTGCAGCTCTTTCTAAATGTGAAAAGAGTTGGGTTGTATCCAGCCTCCTGGAGAAGTTTGGTTTGTCATTTGCCTGCATCGCATGCAGGTTTTCTGCCTTCTGTTTTGGACTGCATTGTCCAGAGCACTATTTTTCTTAGCTCTTCATAAATCAAAATGCAGTCCTCACTGTAACGGAGGCATAGTCCATTAAATGCTTTGAAGATCGGGGCCAAGACCTTTAGCTGGCAGGAGGACACCAGAAGTTAATGGGGAGACAGGAGTGCTAACACCAGCCTAAACCTTGCAGGAGCCAGACAGTCCTACTTTTGTGCCATCTGGATTCTTATCGTTGGTTTTACATCCAAGGTGAGAAACAGTGAATTACAGTCATCCAACCTTGAGTTATTTGGCCTTGTTTGTGAAGAGATGTTGGGTTTTTTGGTGAGTTGTTGATGGGGGAAAGATGTGTTTAGTAAGCGATGCTCCAAGAAAGGCATATTTTATGTTACAGATAGTTATTTCCTGCTAGCACAGTTTTTAACTAGCTCCTTGTTTCATGTCCTGAAAACTGTAATGATGTTTAACAATTTGTATTGGTTAAATTTGAGAAAACTGCTCTTCTTTCAGCCCCTAGTTATGTTTCTCATTTTTGCTTGAATTCAAAACAAGAACTTGAAGGTATGATCAATCTGTAGCAGTATTTGTATTAATTTTGTGGCTATGTTATTTTGTGTTATGAATGATTCGAGTAATCGATAAACTAAAAGGGTTATTTTGAGATACTGTACGGTTTTGTCTTATTGCTTTGGATACTTTGAGAATATTTCATGTGCAGTCACTTCTGCAGTATTCCTTGTACAGTGAGCTTTTTTTCCTCTGTT